TTGGGTGTTTTTTTTTTTTTTTTTTTTTTTTTTTTTTTTTTTTACGTTTAAGAAAATGATCGCTTTGCAATTGTTTAAAGAAAAAAATACAAATATATAACCGATCCGGGGCCCCCCAAAAAATGGAAATTTAAAGGTTTAGACGGAAAATCAGTCTGTTTATACTGGTTTGACAGTATATCCAATCCAACAACCAGCTCGTATCAGTTATACCACTGGTTTGTAGTTCAACTGGTGGAGTCGGTTTTTAAATTACTGATTCATGTTACTCAATTTTCTGAATTGTACTGTGGTGGTATATAGCTTATATGCTTTGATTTGATAGTATGTTTAGCATGGATGACCTGAAGCATATTGTTTTGTTTTTTATTTTTGAAGGTGTCCTGATGCATTCAGAATAAGCTTTGCATCTTGGCTTGTTTCGGGGTCCAATCCGTGATGACATTCAATATGTTCACAAGCAAATTCAATATACATTAAGGCAAGAATCTAGAGATGAAAGAAAGAATAAATGATTTATTTAGTATCATGCACTGCATTCTCTTTTACGTAGTCTTTAAAGTAATAAAACTACACGAGCAATTTCTGAAATATTAAATTGGCTAAATGCAATATTGGTGCTATTTTTGTTGATTCATAATTTTGATTATTTTATTTTGAAATACAGATATTTAGTTCTTCTATTTTTAAAAATACAAAAATTTGATTTTATCAATTTGATGTTTATTAATTATTAAATTTTGATATATTTTGATAACTTATCACCAGTTAAGTAATGTGATAAAATAGTCTTAGCCAAAGGTCTTACTATTAAAACTAGGGCTAAAAGGACTTAAGAAGATGGGATTCATAATGAGATTAGTGAATCTAAGCTCATCTTGAGTTATATATAGACTATTAAATATTTAGCCTAATATTTCTATTGTTTATATTCTTTAGTTTTTTGGGTCAAGTTGTGTAGGATCTATTTTCATGTAATTTTTAGGCTTAAATATATTTTTAATTCTTCAAATTTAGGTTAAATTTATTTTTGGTTCCTTAATGAACTAAAAATAGTAGTTTTTATTTTATTTAATTTAAGTCACTTATAACATTTCTGAAAGTGATAGATTGAAATAATTATACAACATTAGTTGAGTTTAATTACTATTTTCACTACCAGAAGCACTAGTAGGTAGATTTTATGCGATTGTATTTGACAAATTTCTTAAGAAAATTTGAGTATAATACTAAAATAAGATTTTTTTTTTTGAAATTATAAGGATTAAAACCAAAGTTATTTTAAATTTTCTTAAATTTGAGAGACTAAAAACATATTTAAACTTTTTTTATTATGTGTAAATAGTAGGGTAGGGAGTTACAACTAATACATGCTCCATGAGATTAATTTGAGTTGATTAGGACCACATGAGTGATATCCCTATGTGGATGGTGGAATGCCTCATTAAGGCCAATTAATTCAAATTAGTCACGAGTTATTATTTAGTCACCATCCTTACTTGTCACATGAAAAACTCTTATAGTCTAGTTTAGCTTTAAAAGCACATGGAGAAGTTGGAACCAAAGTTTGAATTCAAACGGCACACCACTTAACCAAAGCTATGCAACCATAATTCATTTTTTTTTATCATGGTTAGCCTAACTTGCTCCTTAAGTTACTTCATTCTATATAATCTTGTTCGTAGCTTGTATTCACTTTTGAGTTATGTGAGAATAAAAATTTAGATTTTCTATCTTCAAAAGTCTCAATTTCTCTTAGGAGAATTTTCTCTCTTTAAGAACTTTCATCAAGGTATTTCTCTTGATGGTACTCATTATTTCTTGCTTATCACTCACTTGAGTGGTGTGCCATCCGTACATCTTCTTCTCCATCTTTACTTTTTTTTTTTCTTTTCTTTTTGATGTTTGTGATTTATGAATGAGAATAGATGAGTTTGGAGTCTTCCATGAAGAAGTTGTCAATCATCTTTCTAGATGATTTTATTACTTGTTATCAATTAAGTAACATAATATATAATGACATGACATGTGAGATTTTTTTTATTTAAAAAAATAGAATACAAAGTATTCTTACTTGTATGTAATTTAATGAGTGATTGATATTTACTTTTTTAATAAATTTTATATTCAAACTTTTTTTAGTTTTTTTTTTGTAATTTTCAAATGTCATGTTATTAAATATCATATCAATTATTTGTAAATGTTGAAATTTAACAATTAATATTTGTCAATTTGACAAGAGAATCAAAATTATGTATTTTTAAAATCAGAGAGATTAAATATCTCATTTTAAAATAAAAGGACCAAAATAAAAAATTGATGAAAAAGAGAAAGTAAAAGTAGAATTTAACCTATTAAATATTCATCATTGCTAGTTCTTAACTAATGTCATGTTATTAAATGTCATATCAATTATTTGTAAACGTTGAAATTTAACAATTAATATTTGTCAATTTGATAAGAGAGTCAAAATTATGTATTTTTAAAATTAGAGAGACTAAATATCTCATTTTAAAATAAAAGGACCAAAATAAAAAATTGATGAAAAAAAAAAAGAAAAAGTAGAATTTAACCTATTAAATATTCATTATTGTTAGTTGGATGTTATCAACTTTTAGGTATCAAAATAAAGGTTATATATATATATATATATATATATATATATATTCAATT